CTTATTAGCGAGAAATGAATCGCCAAAATTTTCCATTCCGTAGTATGGCATAGGCACACTAAGTATTTTACCGGTCGCCACTCCTCTATTTTGTGATTTTGTCAAGGCGCAGAGCACAAAGTGATGGAGAAGTTCGGTCTAGCATTTGTCAAAAGCGCTAATTGTTTGTTTTTACATGTGTTTTTTTTTTTGAATATGTAGGCCACAAAAATAACTTGTTTCTTTTTTCTGCAAACAGGCGGAAACTTCAGCCGAAGTCTGTTAGCACTGTCTTAGTCCAACAACCGACACAGTTCCGACGGCCCGGCGAAACAACAGGCACATCGCCTAATGCATCCGTGGATCACTACATGAACCAGTTGAATCAAGCCTCACCGGCAGTGGGCACTGTAACAATAGCTTCGGCTAAACCGAAGGAGAAAGCAGTAATTGATCTTACAGACGAAGATGAGGTGGCTAGTACTGCTACTGCAACACCATCAATACGCCAGCGGAGTATCAACACCAACATTGGCATCAACTCACAGATAATGAACTCAAATCGTAGTGTGCCACCGCTAACACGCATGCCTATGAACCAGCAGACAGCTGTGCGAATGCCAGTAGGTGGTATACGACAACAGAGTCCTATGACGGGTAAGTTTGCAATACTTGGAGTTGCGCCTGGCATTAAATTAAAATAATAACATTTTTTTTCTTAACTTACAACAGCAACAAAAACCAATAACAGTGCACTCATGTCAAATATATCCACTCCGCCCGGCACCAGCATTACGCGCGTACACATCAGTCCTGCGAATATGCCAACGCCGCCGGTACGCAAGTACAGCCATCCTGCGCCGCTGCCGAATACGCCGCCACAACCCTTCAATCCCGGCTGGAAACTGCCACCTCCCAGACCTACCATACGTATTAGTAATCTTGAGAATGGCATTGTCATTTCTTGGACTATGGAGGATTCTATGGAACGGTTTTCGGAATGTGTGACTTATCAAATTTATGCTTACCAAGAGACATCCGGTCCGCCAGCAGTTGATTCGTGGAGGCATGTTGGCGATGTGAAAGCAATGTTACTACCGATGGCGGTTACGTTGACACAGTTCCAAGAAGGTCAACGTTATTACTTTGCAGTGCGTGCTGTTGACGAGCATAAGCGGTTGGGACCATTTAGTATGCCGAAAACGTGGACTTAAATGCATGGCTGAAAAGTTGCATTTTATGGGCGGGAGCTTGTAATGCTTGGCGGTGAAATAGGCAGTTGAATATTTGCGCATGAATTTTCATTTATATCTATATTTTAATTTTCGTATTAGTTAAGTGTTTTTATTAAAGGGTTCACAACCTCATATTTATTGTTTATGAAAACAGAATTAACTTTTATGTAATATAAAAAAAATAATTGTAGTTAATTTAAGTTTAGTTACACAAAATGGAAAATGATATATATTACAAGAAACACTACAACATTACAACCACAAGCAGTCATACATAAAATTTTATTACATTCGATATTTTTATTTTTTTATGTTTCACCACATTATGATCTATTTGGTGAGTTTGTAACACCATACATGGATACTCTAGAAATAGTGAATTACTTGTAATTCTTATAAATTAGGTCTCAATTAAAATAATTACTATTAAAAAAGGAATATTTGCATATTTGAGTATATTAACTACAGCATATGTTTAACATAAGTATTTTTAATCTACATATATTGAAAAAAAATATTGCCTAAATGACATAAATGATTCAGCAGAGGTAGCGAAGTATGAAGATTATACACTAAATCACACAAAAATGCGAATAAATATTTAATTAATGTAAAAACTGAAATAATTTTAATTGTTTGTTGTAATGGCACTGCAAAGATATTGGTCAGTTCGTAAATGCAACAAGCAGAATTACGATAAAGATTTAAACTTGTTTACTATGGAAATGCCTTATTTTCGCAAATTAGTCCCAATTCGACATTTAACAGTGTATACGCATGTTGGGCGTTTCCACCAATTATAGTTTAGAAATAAAAGTGGCTGTGTTTTGCAGTAATGCCGCAGAAATGCATTTACGAATTGACCCATCCAGGCAGGTTCTGCTATTCGCGTCCGAATGAATTTCAACGCCATTCACTTTGAATTCAAAGTTACTTGAAAGTGAATTGCAGAACCTGCCTAATAATGTTTGAGATACATATGTACATCGAGGGCTTATATTCAAGGCCCTTTGTCTGCACTTTTCTAAAAATTAGATTTTGATATAAAAATAGATAGATAGCCGACATAGCAGCGCATGTACACGACTAAAGATCTATCCTGATCGAAATCAATCGATATACCAATTTTTAATCTCATTTGACAATGGGTTTTTTACTTATTTGATATCAAATGCCATTGAATTTGACATAGTGAAAACAAGCCTTAACACTTAACTGTCATCGGGCATATTAATGTTGAGCTTGTAACGGGTGATTTTTTTGAGGTTAGGATTTTCATGCATTAGTATTTGACAGATCACGTGGGATTTCAGACATGGTGTCAAAGAGAAAGATGCTCAGTATGCTTTGAAATTTCATCATGAATAGACTTACTAACGAGCAACGCTTGCAAATCATTGAATTTTATTACCAAAATCAGTGTTCGGTTCGAAATGTGTTTTATCGACAAATTTTGTTCAGCGATGAGGCTCATTTCTGGTTGAATGGCTTCGTAAATAAGCAAAATTGCCGCATTTGGAGTGAAGAGCAACCAGAAGCCGTTCAAGAACTGCCCATGCATCCCGAAAAATGCACTGTTTGGTGTGGTTTGTACGCTGGTGGAATCATTGGACCGTATTTTTTTCAAAGATGCTGTTGGACGCAACGTTACGGTGAATGGCGATCGCTATCGTTCGATGCTAACAAACTTTTTGTTGCCAAAAATGGAAGAACTGAACTTGGTTGACATGTGGTTTCAACAAGATGGCGCTACATGCCACACAGCTCGCGATTCTATGGCCATTTTGAGGGAAAACTTCGGAGAACAATTCATCTCAAGAAATGGACCGGTAAGTTGGCCACCAAGATCATGCGATTTGACGCCTTTAGACTATTTTTTGTGGGGCTACGTCAAGTCTAAAGTCTACAGAAATAAGCCAGCAACTATTCCAGCTTTGGAAGACAACATTTCCGAAGAAATTCGGGCTATTCCGGCCGAAATGCTCGAAAAAGTTGCCCAAAATTGGACTTTCCGAATGGACCACCTAAGACGCAGCCGCGGTCAACATTTAAATGAAATTATCTTCAAAAAGTAAATGTCATGGACCAATCTAACGTTTCAAATAAAGAACCGATGAGATTTTGCAAATTTTATGCGTTTTTTTTAAAAAAAAAGTTATCAAGCTCTTAAAAAATCACCCGTTATAACGCTTGACAAAAAGAATTTACTATTAAATTTCAAAGTCAAATTTAACATCAGTGATGACAGGTAAGTCCCAGAAGAGTTTTAACAACACAAACTAGTTTTTGTGAAAATTGCAGATAAAGGGTATTGAATATAAGCCCTTGATATGTACATTAGACTGCAT